TAAATTTCAAAACTCGAAAAACAATCACATACAAATGAGCTACCTGATGAACCACAATGCCCTATTGGCATCATCACCTTAGTAATTGCTCTGCTTTTAAGCAGGTCTTCTTAGTACCTTCATCTGAGGGGCAGTTAGTTATATAGCTGGTTCTTAGAACATTTTTCATCTCTCCTCAAAATTTCATTTTTTTAAACTTTTATTTTTTAGATTGAACTCAAGACACATAAAAAGAGTATTTCCATATACACAGCAGAGCACAGAAAGAGGACTGTATGTGAAAGAGTGAAACTTTCAGACTACTTTTTAAAAAGTATATAAAAAGGCCACACATTACTTTCAAAACTGTCCTATATGTCTATACTTCCTTCTGAACTTCCTTTTGTTTTCTTCTGTGCATTTTAAAAAATGTTTTTATGGTCTTTTTTTTTTTTGGTTTTGTTTTGTTTTTGCCTCAGTATTGCTAAGGCCCCTATTACCCTTCCACTTATTCTCCCCCTCCCCCGATTAACCCAGAGGAACAAAAAACAACAATCTTGTAACAAATAAACATAAAATGAATCCACCCAGTAGCCATGACCAACAAACTATGTTCCAAGATCTTGAGTCCACATTTCTTTGTCAGGAAATGGGTAGCATAGGTCCTCTGAAGACCTATCTCTAGGTCAATTTCTCTAGATGGTCTAAAGATATTGTTGATTATTATATTGATTAGAGTTCTTCAATCCTTCAAAGTCGTTTTTCTTTACCATATTTCTGTCTTTGTATAAATTTTTCTCTTTATTCTGTTCCCTGCATTCTGTGTTAGTTTTTTTATTCAGGATTCTCTGAAATTATTCCATTACATTCCTGGTACAATTTGTTCAACCATTCCCCAGTTGTCTAAGAGGCTATCAGCAGTACACCCTTAATTTCTTGTTCTTTTCCTTTCTCTCTTCAAGGAAAAAGTCTCCTTTTCAAGAACAGGAAGTTTGTTTTGCTCGGGAATACTCCTTCCCCAGTATTATCCTCCCTCTTGACCTTCCCCCATCCCTGTTTGTTTCCTTGCTGAGTCTGATGTATTTTTGGCCCAAACTCTGTGTGTAGGTGCGTTTTCAACCCATCAGATGAGTGAGGTTCATCTGATGCCCCCTCCTCCCACCTCTTTCTACGTGTTTGTATACTGTTCTCACTTACCCTAATTACAGGAAATAGCAAGTTCCATCCACTTCTTCCTTCTTTCTACTTTAGTATATTCTTCCTTTCAATCTCCCTCTCTTTCTCCTCACCAAGGTCTCAGAATAGAACAAATTACCCCCAGAAAGGACCTCTATGTTTTTCACTTAACTTTCTCATTACTCTCTGAAGACATTAAAGTTTCTAGAAATATATTCTAATAAGAATGTTAGCACTACATCATTATACAGCTCCTTCCACTTGCTCAAATAAATTGACCTTTCTAGGTTTCTCATGACTCTTATGTTTACATTACAAAGTTCCTACTCAGCTCTGGTCTTTTTATTGGAAATTTTTGAAAGTCTTTATCACATTAATGATTCATTTTTTTTCCTTTTTAGTAGTATACTAAGCTTTGCAGTGGATGATTTTGTTGTTGTTGTTATAAGCCTATAGCTTTTACTTTTTGGTATATTTTATTCCAAGATCTCCTCTCACTTTTTTTTATTTAAAAAAAATTTTTTTTTCAGGCAATTGGAGTTAAGTGACTTGCCCCAGGTCACACAGCTAATAAATGTCAAGTGTTTGGTCTGAGGGAAGATTTGAACTCAGGTCCTCCTGACTTCAGGGCCAGTGCTCTATCCACTGCTGCCACCTAGCTGCCCCTTCCTCTCACTTTTAATAGAAGTGTCCAGGTCTTGTGTGATCCTGACTGCACTTCATTGGTACTTGAACTGTGTCTTTCTAGATGCCCTTTTCTTTGATATGGGAGCTCTGGATTTTGGCTATGGCAATTCTGGGACTTTTCCTTTTGGTAATTTCTTTCAGAAAGTTATAAGTAGATTCTTTCCATCTTCACTTTGCCCTCTGATTCTAGTACAGAGAGACAGTTCTAATTATGATTTCTTAAAAATATAACATCAATACAGAGGCACAGAGCATATACATATACATTTATTTGTACATATAAATATATTATGTGTCTATCTATCTATCTATCTATCTATCTGCATCTATCTATCTATCTATATTTGGTAGCAGTTCTTTTTGTAGTAGCCAGGAAGAAGAAACATCAAATGGGGAATAGCTAAACAAATTATGGTATGTGAATGTAATGGAACTCCATTGTGCCATAAAAATGACAAAAGGAAATTTCAGAGAAACCGGGAAAAGCTTGTATGAACTGATGTGGAGTAAAAGTGAGAAGAACCAGGAGAACAATTTATACAATAATAACAATATTGTAAATACCATTTTGAGAGATTTAAGAACTCTGATCAACTTGGTAATCAACCATAATTCCAGAAGACTTATAATAATTATGTGCTTACTATGTGCCAGGCACTGTGCTAAGTGTTGGAGATACAAAGAAAAAAAGTCTCTGCTCACAAGGAGATGACATTCTAATGGAGGAGACAACATGGAAACAGCTAGGTACAAATAAGATATCTACAGGGTGAAGTGGAAGCAATGTCAGAGAGAAGACACTAGCATTGAGGGGGACCAGGTAAAGCCTCTTATAGAAGGTAGGATTTGAGCTGAGGTTTGAAGGAAGCTGAGGAAGCCAGGAGGCAGAAGCAGGAAGGGAGAGCATTCCAAGCATGGGGAACAACCAGAGAAAAGGCACTGAATTGGGAGACAGAGTGTTTTGTGGAATAGCAAGAAAGCTAATGTCACTGTATCTTCGAGTACATAGAGGGGAATAAAGTGGAAGAAACCTGGAAAGGTAGGAAAGTGTGAAAAGTTTTAAATGCCAAATTGATCATTTATATGAGATGCTGGAGGTAATAGGGAATCACTGGAATTTTTTGCAGAAATTTATCTCCAATGTCAAGGAGAGATATGGTAAGACTTGTACTGTTCTACCTTTTGACAGAGGGATGATAGACCTGATATTTAGAATGAGACATATTTTTTTTGGACATGGCCAATGTAGGGATTTGTTTTGCTTGACTCTGTATATTATTAAAAGGCTTTGTTATTCCTTTTTCAGTTGGGGAAGGGAGATGGGAAGAAGAGAAAATAAACGCTTTTTAATTGAAAAACAATTTAATTAGGGGAAGCTAGGTGGTGCAGTGAATAGGACACTGGAGTCAGGAGGACCTGGGTTCCAATCCAGTCACAGACAGGTACTAGCTGCGTGACCCTGGGTAAGTCATTTAACCCCAAGAACCTAAAAAAAAAATTTAAATTTAAATTTAAAAAATTAAATTAAAAAAAAGAATCTGTTCAGAAATTTATTTTTTATCATGGTTTTCAGGGAGTCTGCTGATTCTTAAATTATGTCTCCTTGACCTGTTTTCCAGGCCAGTTGTTTCTGAAATCAGATATCTTACACCTTTTTTTTTCCACTCCTGATTTTATTTGGGCAAAGTTTACTACTTTATCTTCTAAGCTACTTAATCTCCTCTCACGTTTTTCTTCCACACATTTTATTTCATTTTTAAGCCTTTGTTTCATTTCTTGTAGCTATTCATATAATCCCTGTGGATGACCCATTTTTTCCTTTTGAGGATTTAATACAGAGCTGATCCAGAGTTATTTTCTTTTTTGGGAGGGTGTGTGTGAAATCTATAGATTTATAATAAGTTTAATACTGATCATTGACTTCTTTGGTTTCTCTCCACCTTGAGTTCATAAATTGAGACTTTATGTCAGGAATATACTCTACCCCTTGCTACACATTTGGGTCAGTGGTTTTCCTTACTTTTGCCTTGGGTCACCTGCATTCTTGCCCTGACCTCCTCCTCAGTGCAAGGTACTAAATGTACCCTCCTCCAGAGGGTGGGATCCTTCTGGATCTTGGAAGTTCAGAGGGCAGGATGGTCAGGACTCTCTCTGGCATTTCAGGATAGGGTGCTAGGGACCTCAGAGCCCTAGGCTGTCCTAGTTCAAGCTGCACCCACACTAGTCACTGTTATTTTGCTACTAGGGCCTTACAAGCACCCAAGGGATTTTCTCCAGGGAGACCTTGGCTTTTTCTTCCTCCCAACAGAAAGCCTTCCAGGCTATATGTACCTCTGACCCTTTTCTGTAGGGGTTAGAAGGCTACTGTCTCATTAGCCTTGGCGGGAGTTTGCTGGCAGCCAATAGGCTGCTGACTGAGTTTTTGTGCAGTTTGGAGAAAGTCACTTACTATAGTTCCTTATTGCATGACTTTATCTTCTGCAAATTTCATGTTTTCCTGGAGTAAATGTTGGGGAGCTGGGCGCTGTTCACGAAGCCATTTTAGGCATGTCAATGTGTTTTCCAGAGACTTTCTTCACAATTTGATTTTTATCAGTTTTCCTTTCACGAATTTTTCTTTTCTGCCCATTTTCAGTAACCAATTATATGAAAGAGACAGTACCTTACATACACATCATCATTTTTCAGGGGAGATACATGGCACTTGAGCTGACTTTTGTAAGAGACAGGGTGGGGACGGAAAGCTTTCCAGACCCGTGAGACAGCTTAGGCAAAGGTGCAGGGAGGGAAGATGGGAGTGTTCAGCAAGAAGGACACTTTAGACAGAACCATAGGGTGTGTAAAGGGCAATAATGTATGCTAGGACTGGGTATAACACACAGACACATAATTATTATATGAAATTATAACAAGTGGGGCAGTCGCAAGGATAGAGGATAGAGATCTCCTGGGCCAGCTCAATACAGGGCGAGACAGGAAGCAGAAGAGTTAAGCTGAAGAGGCTGCTAAGCTACGCCCCCGACCACAGCTCCACCTTCACCCCAGTTTTTAGCCAATCATAACCTCTTGACCAGCCCCACCCCCGGCCACGCTAATACAGCCGAAGCTATTCGAGTAGTACCACCTTCCCTCCTGGAGAGAGACTTCTGATTGGATACACTATCTTTTCTCTCCTCCCTCCCTCCCTGCCCAGATTGGACCCCCGCGTCATCTTTGGACCTCAGAATCCACTCGGGGACAAGTGTGTTAATAGTCGTCGAGATGGAGCGAAGCTTCGCCGGCCGCCGGGCGCTGGTCACCGGAGCGGGCAAAGGTTGGGCCAGGGCTGGGCTTGGGCTGAAGATGGGGCTGGGGCAGGGGGTCGGGGGCAGTGGGGGCCAAGCGGTCTAGACGGTTGAAACCCGGACCCATCCCTAAGTGTCTCGGGACGTTGCAGGCATCGGGAGGGACACTGCCAAGGCGCTGTTTGCTAGCGGAGCCCAAGTGGTAGCAGTGAGCCGGACCCAGGAGGACCTGGTCAGCCTGGCCCAGGAGGTAAGTGGGGATCTCCGAGCCCAGCAGTCCTTTCCAGCCCCAGCCCCGCCCCGCCCCTCCCCGCCCACTAGAACTTTGCCCCAGCCATCTAGGCGCGTGAGTCTGGAGAAGCCAGGCTGCTCGACGCCAGCTGACCCGCGGGTCAGCCTCTTCAGTCACCTTCCTCCTGCCCCGCCCTCCCCACCAAAAACAGCAGCAAAAGCCAGGGATCCAGAGGTAACAGAGTTGGACTTAGGTGCAGAAGACCTAGTTTCACATTCGAACTCTGTGCCTTACTTCCTGTGTGACTACGGGTATCTTTACACTTTTCGGACCCTCTGTTTCTTTATCTATAAAACGGAGATATGATACTGACACACAGTAATAATAGCCGACATTTACACAATGCATTTGAAGATTTGCAAAGCCCTTTATACACCTGTGTCTTTTGATCCTCACAACCATCCAGGGAGGTAGGGTATTATTTTTTTTTTAACTTCTCTGTGGTTTCATTCATAAAGAGAATTACTGATGAGAAAATTCCTTCTACCAGGGAGACTGCTGTGGTACTTATGGCCCTAAAGAGTTGCTTGGGGGATAGGGGTGGGGATGGGAGAATCAAGCAGTTAAATGATTCGTTCTGGGTTACACAGCCAGGAGGGCTCAGCAGCTGGGACCTGAACCCAGGACTTCCTGACCCAGGCTGGCTCCCATCTAAGCCCTGATGCCTCTCAGTTACTATTATTATTCTTATTTTACATATGAAGAAACAAGCTTAAAGGAGTTAAGTGACTTGCTCAGAATTAGTAAATGTCAGATGTGGGGTTCAAACCCAGGTCTTCCCGACTCCAGTAATAACATTCTCTTAAGATGTCTGCTGTACAATAAGTGGCATATACAGAGTGATTTTTAAACTTTGCACGTAGGCTATTATATTTCTTTCTTTTTCGATCTCTCTTCCACTCTACCAAATTGATGCTGCAGGTCTTGAGGGCCATACTGTGAGAATCACCACCCACTCTTAGCCCCCTACACCTGTTCTCTACACATTCATGTCCACTCATCTGATGACCTCCCAGGTCACACTTGGGTACAGCCTTGGGACTCCACAACACTGGACTGTTTCCAGAGGCTGAGGCCACTGCTGCTCCCTGCTCCTTAAGAAAGTACTTGAAGTTATTTGGGGGCACAGTAGTAGCTCTTGTGGTGACATGCACAGAGGTATGAGGGGGCAGCTAGGTTAGCTAGGTGCTGCAATGGATAGAGCACTGGCCCTGGAGTCAGGAAGACCTGAGTTCAAATTTGCCCTCAGCCACATACTAGCTGTGTGACCCTGGGCAAATCACTCAACCCCAATTGCCCGCCCCCCCCCCCCAAAAAAAGTGTATAGGGTGGCAGGACAAAGAGCCTTCAGTTTCCTTGAGATATCCAATTCTGCTTCAGTATTTAGAACTAAGACATTCTGTTTTCTGAGGGGCCTCAAAGTGCCCAAAGACCATTGCCAGGAGCTACAGGATCTGCTGGAGAGGCAAGGAGCACCTCCACCTGTCACTCATTTTGCAAGCCTTCTTAAGGTACTGCCACTCCATCATTTTAACCATTAGTGGAAACACTCCTAGAATATGGGAGCCTATGGCCTATTCATTATCATCTGACCATCTCACTTTCCCACTGTCATTCCCCAATTTGGTGCCTCCTTCCTGAACTCCTGGCTGGTATCAGGAACTCTCTACCATGGGAAGCTTTTCTCTTATTGTTGCCTAATAACCCTTTCCAATCCCCCTGAAGTGCCCAGGAATAGAGACTTTATGTGTGGATCTGGGAGACTGGGAGGCCACAGAGCGGGCTCTGAGTACCATCGGCCCTGTGGACCTGTTGGTGAACAATGCAGGTGTAGCCTTGCTACAGCCTTTCCTGGAAGTCACTAAGGAGGCTTGTGATAGGTAAGCCCTAGGGGTTAAAAAAAGAAAAAAAGCAGGGCCCCAGGATAGTGGGGAAAACCAACCCAGAAAAGGCAGACCCTTGGAATCCAGTCTGGAATTTTTATAATTCTCTCTTGAGTGAGAATCCACCTTATCTGCTCAGCTGAAGAAAGTAGGCTGGGCCCTGGGGCTCTGAGTAGAGAGCTATTTTCCCTTTTAGCTATGACTGTGTTTGGTGTCTATCCCCAGGTCTTTTGATGTGAATTTTCGGTCAGTGGTCCAAGTGTCCCAGGTGAGTTGTGACACAAAGTTTGGGAATTAAAACAAGATGGGAAATTATAGCATACTTGAAGTCCCTTGTTCAAACTCCTTCTCTTTCACCCTTCTGTTTCATTCCCCTGCTTTTCTCCTGAGTTCTAGATGGTCGCCCAGGGGTTGATAGCCCGAGGCGCCCCAGGAGCTATTGTCAATGTCTCCAGCCAGGCCTCCCAACGTGCTGTAAAGGACCATGCCATCTACTGTGAGTGCCCACCCCTTTAGCCCTCCCTCATCGTCCTTTTTCCAGCTGCTCAATTCAACAATTTAAACCATTAGGCCAAGTTTCCTGTCTTAATTTAGAATAGAAGAGCTAAAAGGAACCTGAGAGATCATATAATCTAATCTCTTCACTTTACAGGTGAAAAAACTGAGGCCCACAGAAGTATCCATAGGGAATTGGTGAAAGGGAGGACTGGAAACCAAGTTTTCTTATGCTCAGGCCAGGGCTTAATCTTCCAGTTACCCCAGGCTCCTTCCAACCCTTGAGTTCTCTAACTCTGACCATCTTGGTCAATCAACAAGCATTTATTAAGTGCCTACTATGTGCCAGGCACTGTGTTAAACACTGGAGATACAAAGCAAGGCAAAAACACAGTTCCTGACCTTTGGGTTCCTCTCCTTCTCTATACACTTGCCAACTACCTCTTTTAATTCTCCTAAATAACTGACTTAACTCTTTTACTCTCTCCCTCTCCACCCCGTTATCCCTCACCAGGCTCCACAAAAGGTGCCATGGATATGCTAACCAAGGTGATGGCTCTGGAGCTGGGACCCCACAAGGTAAGATCTGAGACATCTAAGTCTACTTGTTATAAGTCCAAAAAGGGCCTCTCCCCAGCAAGAAATAAAAGTCCTCCCCTCCTCTGCCGTGGTCAGCCCACAGCTAGAATAGTCTCTAAAGTTGTGGGTGCCACATTTTAGGAAGTACATTGTTAAGATAGGGTTTGGAGGAGAGGCTGGATAGAAATGGGTCTCAAGTTCATGTCCTATCACTTGAAGGAACTGGGAATGTTTAGGTGCCAAAGTGGATACAGCACCAGGCTTGGAGTCAGGAAGACCTGAGTTCAAATCTGGCCTCAGATACTTACTAGCTGTTTGACCCTGGACAAGTCACTTTACCCCAGTTGCCTAAAAAGAAAACAACCCCAAGAAGCCCATAGAAGAAAATACTGAGGGTGATATTTTGTCATAGCTGTGTTCCCATAATTGAATGGGTGTTTTTTGGAAGAGGTATTAGATTTGTTTGCTATGGTCCCTGTGCATGGCACATAGTAGGCACTTAATAAATTCCTACTGACTGATTGGCAGAGTCAGAAGGAATGGGTAAAAGTTACAAAGAAGCAAATGTAGGCTTACTATCAGAAAAAAAAAAGCTTTCTGAAAGTAGAACAAGGAAGTGGGGGTAGGGGTCTTCAGACAAAAGCTGGAGAACCACTTGACAGGTACATTGTAGAGAGGTCCCTTTCAGCTCAGATCCTGAGATTCCCCAGGCTTGCCCCAGGTGTGGCCATGCCCCTGAAGGGCCAACCTGAACCCCTCTAACCCAGATCCGAGTGAACACAGTGAATCCTACCGTGGTGATGACTGCCATGGGCAGGGCCAACTGGAGTGACGCCCAGAAAGCAGAGTCCATGCTAAGCCGAATCCCACTGGGCAAGTTTGCAGGTGAATTGAGGGTGAGCAGTGGGTCCTCAAGGCCAAATGCCATCCACTCCTTCCCTTCTCCCTCTAATTGTTTATGTTTTGGTGCCTTCCAAGAGGCCTGGGACAGAACCTTAGTCCCCAGCACTTGCCATGGGTACAAGAATGCACAATCCTCTTTAAAAGGGGCAGGGGCCCTACCATGGCTGTGAAGACACAGCAGTCTCCCAGCCTCTAGATATCGCCCTATTCCCCCTGCAGAGGTGGAGGACGTGGTGAACGCCATCCTTTTCCTGCTGAGTGACCAGAGTGCCATGACTACTGGCTCAGCTCTGCCGGTAGATGGAGGGTATCTGGTGGGTTAGGAGATCTGCATCCTGAACCAGGGGAAGGCATCTGCTTTCTGTGCCTTATTAAATGTGTATCATCTGATCCTTGAATGCTTATTCTTTGGCCTGAGGAGGGAGGGGGAAGGGGATGATGATGGTATTGCAGAGGGCAAGTGGAGGAGAGGCATTGGAACACCAGTGCCCGGGCTCTTGGGGAGTCCAGTCTGGTCCAGGCTGTCAAGCACCCAAAGTCACCCTACAGACTAAGCTAGATCTTTGGGCTCAGGACAAGCTGGGTCAGAGCCAATTCGGGGCTTTTGAGGGAAAACTATCTGAGGCTGGCAGTAGTTTAAGTGGGACTCCTGTGCATACAAAGTAACCATCCAAAGTAACCAAAGTAACAGAGACCCCAATAGGGAATTAGGGAGGTGGGGGCAGAAAAGCAAGCTCTCTGGTTAGTAGATGGTCAGCTCCCAAGAAAGGCAAGGCCTGTGTTCATGGAGAATGTTTACTGTATAAAATAAGGGATGATGGCCCCGTCCTAGAACCCACAGTCACATACTTCCCTCCCTGCCCTCCCCCCACCCTCCCCAACCTGGGAAGCCCAGCCCAGGGCTGCCCTGGTCATGCCCCTTCTCCTCTCTGAGAGAGACCCTGCTCCCTCCTGTGCTAGCTGGAGGCCTGGGCTCCTGGGTCCCTGGGTGCAGAGCAGAGTGGGAGGAGGCTTCAGGCTGTGCTTCCCAGGCCTGGGTAGGAGGGAGCAGGGGCTTCCTCTCTTCCTTATCAGCCCTCCCTCCAGCCCCTCCAGGACAGTATGCCCTGTTCTTTGTGCTGATCTTCCCTCCCCAGAGCCCACACCTCCCCTCCCCACCCCCCTCCCTCTATCTTCCCACTCCCTGTACCCACATCACATCAGACTGAAGGGAAATCAAACATTTCAACAATGACACCATACTTGGAGGTCTGGGACACTGTCCCAACCCCCTGGCCCTTGGGCTCTTAGCCCTCCTCACCACTCAGGCCACCTGGGGTAGGAGACTTTGGGCAGGGTTTAGAACACAGTACACTTCTTTCCAGGTTTCTTGATGGGTGGGGGACACAGCACTGCCCGAATAGCTTCATCAAATACTGTCTTGAGTCCCCGCTGAGTCAACGCTGAGCATTCCAGGTACTTGACAGAGCCTGGGGGCAAGTGGAAAGGGTCTCAGGGTGAAAATGAGGGTGACAGCATCCCTACCTTGTCACTCGGCTGACTTTTCTCTTATTGTTCCTTGCTACTGCCCACTGCCCTTACTTACCAATCTCTCGGGCCATGGCCAGGCCCTGGGGGTAAGTGATGGGGGCCAGCTTCTTGTCCCGAAGCCGTTCAATGGTGTCCTTGTCATCTCGAAGGTCCAGCTTGGTGCCCACGAGGATTATTGGTGTGTTGGGGCAGTGATGTCGTACCTCAGGGTACCACTATGGGAAGTACAAGATGCTAAGATAGGCTGTCCCATTTTTGTGGCCCCTGTTCTCTAGCCATGGGCCTCTCCCCCTCCCTGGGCCTCATGCTTCTGAAAAGGAAGAAAAGAGTAGTGTTCCTAGCATAGCTTTCCTTCCTGCCCTTGCCCACATAGTACCTTGGCACGGACATTCTCGAAGGAGGCTGGACTCACCAGGGAGAAACATATCAGGAAGACATCCTATGTAGGAAAGGGTGGTCAGTGGCTTGCTGGTGAAAGAAGTCCTCCCCACCCTCTATTTTACCCACCTTGCCCCACTGTAAGATCCCAACCCTGACCTCTAAGTCTGGATATTAAAATCCCAATTCTCCTCAGAACCTCAGACCCCTGAGTACTGGCCCTACTCAGCCTGGGAGGGAGAGAAGGTAGGGAACTGCAGGGACTACATACAGTCTGGGGATAAGAGAGGGGTCGAAGCCGGTCATAGTCTTCCTGCCCAGCTGTGTCCCATAGCCCCAGGTTCACTGGCTTTCCATCTACCATCACATTGGCTGAGTAATTGTCGAAACTGGAGGGATAAGAGATGGAAGTCAGAATTGAGGGATTTGGATCCTGGATCCCCCCAGAGTTCTGTATAGGGATCTTCAGAAGTCATAGCCTCACCACCATTGCCCTGCTCCTCCCCGCCCCTTCAGAATCAGGAACATTGTGTCCTCAGGAAATGTAGACTGTAGCAAACTCTCATTTGCCCTCCTGTCTCCAAGGTCTTCCTATCTCTTGCACAGGCAGGGGCCAAACCCACACATGTATCCCTTTGGTCTAGTTGGATGTCTTCAATTGCCCTGTTCCAAAACCAGAAGATTCCCCAGGTTCTAGATGCTCACACAGTAGGGATGTACTCTCCAGGGAAGGCATTGGTGGTGTAGCTGATTAGCAGGCATGTCTTCCCCACGGCTCTTTAGGGAGAAATGGCATAAATCTGAGGTTGATTCCCCAAGTCTTGCCCATACCTTTCCCCAATGAACCCACCCACTTGATGAAGGTTCTCCCCTTTCTCTTGGGGATATTGCACCCTCAAGGTCTGGAATGAGGAGACAAAAGTCTAGATAAAGGTTGAAATTGTGCGGTCTCCCATGCTTCCACATTCCTCCCCAGGTCCAGCTTTTCTGGGGAGACCCAAGAGGTGGAGAATAGAGAAACAGAAGTTGTTGGGTGGGGTAGGTTAAGGTAGGAAGGGAGTGGTGATGGGTATAACAACTCAAGTGAATTTAGAAGGGAAGAGGAGAGGGGCACCTAAGACAGTGCTAGGCTGATTCTAATAGGCCTGGCTCACTAGTAACCTCAGGTCTCAGTTAGAGAGGGTAGGTAGGAGGAAATAAGTGAGAACTGGATCTCCTCAAAGTCCAAGACTGTAGGTAGAAGTGGTAGGGAGATGAACTAGTTATTCTTTCACTGTCCTCTACCTCCTGGGCCAATACTGATGCTCAAAACTAGAAACAGAGGGGAAAGGGCTGAGGCATGCAGGGAGGAAATTCATACTCAATTCAATACTCTGGTCAAGATGCTAGGAATACAAAGGCAAAAATCAAACAGTTGACATCCTCAAAGAGTCCACTTAAATGAAAATGCGTGTGGGAGGTCTGGAGATGGGTAGGAAAAGAGGAAATGGAAGAATTTCAGAGTTGGAAGGGACCTCAAGGGGTCCTCCAGTTCATTCCTACCTGATGTAAAAATACTCTCCATAGCATCCGTCCCTGACCAATAAATAGTGATGCAGGGGGACCTTCCCAAGGCTATCACTCCATTTCTTCAGCCCCTCAGGTTATTGCCCTCCTTTTCTGGGACCTGGGTCCCCCTCCCTATCCCCTTCGTGCTGACCGAGGGGCCGGCCAAGGGTCTGACCAGTCCCAAAGAGACAACGCTGCCAGGGCGTGGCACGTGTGTGCCCTTAGATGGGGGCGGCGGGGAAAGGGTGGTGGGCAGACCCACCGCCCAGCCCCGGCTGCACCCCCCGAGCAGGTGTCAGCCCCATCACCTGGCCTCGTGGGTTCTCAGCATCCAGAGAGGGTGCCTTTTCATCCCCCCTGGACCCTGCCCCCACCCACCCCGAGATGCAGACCCACCCTTAGTATCCCTGCACCGGCCCCAGCCCCTGCCTCTCTGGCCAGGGTGGCGCCCCAGACCCCGCTCACTGGTGCCCCAGAACCGGACCCCGCCCCCCGGCACCCCCAGAGCCAGATCCGCCCCCCGCGTCCCCAGAGCCGGTTCCCCCGCTCGCCCAGGGCTCACCCGTCGCCGACCACCACGCATTTGATCGCCTGCATGTGCCCGGGGCCAGGAACCGGCTGCGCGGGAGCCGGGGTCTGCGAGCCGAACCGCAGGGAAATGCCCCAGCGCCGCAGCCACGGCGGGGACTGGAGAGTCTAGGGGGCCGAGCCGAGCAAGCGAGCGGCTGTGGCCGGAGACAGCCGAGCGCCGCCGAGCGCCGCGGCCGGAGACAGCCGAAGACCCGAGGCTGGCGAGCGGGAGGGCGCCGCGAAGGTGGGAGGTGGAACCCTAGACCTTTCCCCGCCCACTCGGGCGGAGGTGACTCCGTGGCCCAGGGCCACTGGGGTGACAGGGGCTTGGCTCCTCCCAAATAGGCTCCCTAAGACCTCTGGGATGGGGAACTCAGTCCTGCCTGGTTTTCTGGCGATGCGGGAATGGCCCCTTCCACACCCACAGCGGGTGCCCGGTGGCAGGGGCCGCGGGAGGACACGTCCGCAGGCAAGGACGGAGGGAGTGAAGTGACCACTGCAGAGGGCAGGGATCCGGCCAGGGCAGGCCTTTTGTAAAACCTTGCTGTTATCCACCCCTGCCCCTCCCCAGTTGCTAGGGATTTCTCTCCAGCAATTATCTTGCATTCTAATTATCTGTGCATCGAATGTATCCTGCCAGTAGACTCTTAAGTTCTTCGAGGGGACTATTTTGGTTTTCTTTTTGTAACCCCAGCACCTAGCTTTGTGCCTTGTCCATCAAGCAGGTCTTTTGTTTTTTGAGTTTAATTTGAGGCACTTTAAGAATGGGGCAGAGCCCCTTAGTAAAGGAGGGAAGAAAAGTTGGATCTACAGGTCACATAAAAGAGGAGCAACCGCACTACACAATCCACCACTCATGGCCAAGCTCTGCTTGCTTCAACATTATGAAGCTCTCAGTGTTGGCTACTTAGGCTTCAGTCAAATCTCCAGCTCCCTTTGCTCGCTCTTATCTACACCAAAGCAGTAGCTGGGATGTGCCTTAGAAAGATACCCTCTGGAGCTGCAGGCAGGGGCCAGCCCAAGGATCAGTACCTTTTACACAGCAGGCACTCAAACATCAACCGCTTAATGATTTTGACTGAGTAGCATAAAACTTCGACGATGGTGGGGGACTTTTGGGAAGCTTAAACGTCCCTGCAGAAAATAACTTTAACAGGGTGGTGGATTTTGGTATCCATATACAAAGATACTCAGATGGTCTGTAACCAAGCCTTTGTTATACAAGAAAGAGGGAATTCTAAGGCCCCTTTCTTTGAAGCTGCCAAAGATTGCCACATGGTCACCACTGCTAGACTTCGGGGAAAAGACTTACTAAGGAAGAGGCAAGTCTTAACGATAGGCAGCCCAGGACAATAGAAATAGGGTCTTGTGTTCACGGAACCGGATGCTCCGGTCCTAGGGAGATGCACTGGCACCAGAAGCTCTGGGTGTATCATGAAATGAACAAGCTCTATATTTCAGAAACATGCCGAACAATAAAAAAAAAATCACCACGCTAGGTACAGGGCTGGGCCCCGAGAGTGTGCCAAAGAATGTCCACTGAGTGAGTCCCAAGGTTAAATTTTAAAAGTATCATAACATTATCTGCTTTGTAAGTAGCACATGTCACACACACACACACACACACACACACACACACACCCAGCTATCTTGGGGAGAGATCTGCAGAGTTCAAATTTAGTTCTCCAGGTTTTCTGTCATCTTTCAGCACTCTCAAGGCACATGATTCTCAAAATAGGTTGCAGGGGCAAAGATTGGTGGCTGTCCTTTTGTGCTCGAAGAGGACCAAAATGGTATCACTATGTCAGGGTCAAGGTGCAGTGTGTTGATTGTGCCTGATCAGATCAATATGAGCCCAGAAGGCTCTACCATAGGTTAGGCACATAGTCCATGTGAACATTTAGAGTGGCAATGTTTCTAAATTTGTGCATCTCATGTTTCTTTTGAGCTACAGCAAAGAAGGGGCAGAGAAGGGAACTGTTAAGTTCATGAGTACCTAGGAGCAGTTGGCCAGCTGATCTGCCATATAAAAAAAGGCACTGCCCATGGATTTGCTTCTGACACAGTGGGCACTGACCAGCCAAGGCCCCTAGCTGGAGACTTAAACAATTCACTTGGGTCTAGTCTGGGTGATTCCTTTTGGACAATGAAATTCAAATCACATAACTAAATTGCATTTTTCAAAAAACACAGCATGGTAGCCTCCATTCTTCTTGGTCATCAGTGTTGCTTTAAGTTGGAGATGGGACAGGAAAGCCATTTTGCCTGGTGTAAAAGAGGTGAAGGAAGGGAAGAAAGTTGGGAGAAACCCAGATCTCCCACCTCCCTTGACAGCAGTTCTCTGTCATCAACTGTACATCCACCAGGAATCCTCAGAAGCTCTGGAAGGTCTCATCCTGCACTTTCATCTTAGGTCTCAAGAATGATGCAGGAGATGGAGGTTGTCTCATAGGCAAACAGATCCAAGTTCCCTTTGTGCTGCTGTCAGCATTCCCCATGCTTTATACCCAGTCTCAGAATCTCCCCTAACTCTTATTAGTTGTCAGGTTTGGAGTCCCCAGGGGAGAACCCTGTACATAAGCCAAGATGGCATTCTGCAGGAAGCTGGCTCGCTGGGCCTCTTCCTCCCGAAGCCTGTTGATCTCCATATTCTTAAGCCTCAACTTTTCCCTGATAGAAGCGTTCTCACTCTCTCTGTCTAGCAGGGCCTCTCGGTGGCTGCTTGACATCACTGTGGGGAGAGGAGAAATTCAGTGAGGGAGAAGCAGTGGTCTCTTTGTCTGAGCCACATGTCTTGTGGAGCCAGTAGGCCAGGGGTAAGAGGGACTGCTACATGAGCCTGTCTCCTATCACTCAGGAATGAGGGCCCAAGGCCTTACCTTTGATTTGCCTTTCCAGAGTTGCAATCTTCTCCTTTAACCCTTCCTGGGCCGTTCGCTCTGCCTCCAAGTGGCCGATCTGCTCCTGCAACTCTACTCGAACCTTGTTCACTTCGGCCACCTTCTCCTGTTCCTTGTTTCTCAGTTCCTATTGAGGGAAATACTGTGAGGAGAGAAAGTGGGACCCCAGCTGTGGCCTCTCTGCAGGGTCTAGAGGGCCCTACAGACACACCTGCTGCAGCTCCTCTAGCTGCCGCCTTAGCATTTCCATCTGGAGGCTCATCTGGTTGTTCTTGGCCTGGCTTTCCGTCACGGTTTGTTTCTGCTGGAGGCAATATTCCTGAGCTTCATCTCGGGCCTGGGACATCAGCCTTATTTTCTCTTCCAGATGAGTCATTTGCTGTTGCTACAAGGTCCAAAGAACAATGACTGGGTCCATGTTGGAAGGATGGATCACCACCATATACCGTCACCTTGAGAGACCTTCTCTAGAAGGCTCCTGCTTTCCCCTTCGACACTTGGAATTGCCTTATTCATCCTTTCAGGGCTTCTTAAAATCCATCCAATGAACCCCAACCCAACTCTGTAATGCCTCTTTTACTCCACAACTCCACAATTCTTACACAGTAAGTAACAGGCCAAGATCTTTACAACCAACCCCTAAGAGCAAAGAACTGTTCAAATTCTTTTGTTGCGTGCAATACTGCTTGAAATCAGTAGCTGTGGATTAAAAATCTTTTAATTAGAGAAACTAATTATTGCAATGGTGTCTGTTGCAATAGAATTTGATCCGTAAATTAAGCTGGTACTTGTTTAAATGTTGTTTTCTCATATACTTTTCATGTGTATGTCCTACCTCCCCCATTAGACTTGGAACCTCTTGAGAGTGGGGACTCAACTTCTGTTTTTCGGATATCTTATTTTTGCCTTCTCTCCTGCAATAACAGTAAAGGGCTTGGCTTCTACAGTGCTGATCAACTCACCATTTCCAGGCGGACTTGGGTCTTGGCCTTCATCATCTCCTCCTCTGCCTGACCTCGCTCGGCCAGTACAGCTTTCTTCACTTGGCTCACCTCCTACTTGGGTACAGACATGAAACCTCTAGGCTGCCCATACCCATCCTCAGGGATTGACCCTGCTCTGGCCACTTAGCAGGTCTTTGGCCAAAGTCAGCCCCAAAAGGATTTTATGGGGAAGGAATTCCCCATAAAGAAGCAACCTCTACCAATGCAGATGAACAATGGTTCTTCACCTTAAGAATCAGAGAGTTGCCTGGGGGCACTGAGAGGTTAAGGAACTTGCCTAGGGTCCCCAACCAGTATGTGTCAAGGGTGGGACTTGAACCTGATGCTATCCACTTTGCCAGGCTATTTTTCAACTTTAGCCTGGAGCTCTCAATTATTGAACTGAATTCAGCTATTTTCTTAAAAAGGCCTTTTACCAGGGGATCTCTCCCACCCACCCCCCAAACACATTATGAGAAATAAGTGGCCTCAAAACAAGGCAAGATTCTTTCACCCTTTGCCCTAAGCCAGAGGTAGTGAACCTGTGGCTTTGAGGCCACATGTGGCCTTCTAGGTCCTCAAGTGTGGCCCTTTGACTGAATCCAAACTTTTCTGTGAAGTTTGGATTCAAAGGGCCTCACTTGAGGGCCTAGAGGGCCACATGTGGCCTTGAGAGCCTTCACACCCCTGCCCTAAGCGCCTTCTGAGAAGAGCCAAGTTCAAGGCCAAAAGGCCTCCAACTCTGCCACTTCCAATCCAGTTGCAGCCTAGCTTTGCCACTCCTGCTTCCTAGATCACCTTCTGGGTTTCTAGGCATTTCTCTTAAGAAGATCACACAAAGGGCAGATGCTGGCAGAGAGTAAGGGGGTAACTCAGGAGCCTAGAAGCCAGATATCCTTGAATCTGTGTCCACCAGACTCCTGCTGTGACACTGAAGTACAAGGAGGGTATGGGGAGGGGTGATATCTACACAGGTCAGAGGGTATTTCCAATCTCTTACCCTAAGATATGTTAATTGGGGGTCAGTGTCCCACTGCCCCCCTCCATTATGAATGCTCACCTCCTCCAGGGAGCTTCGAATCATCTCCAGCTTTTGTATCCTTTCCCGTAAGCACCGTTCACTTTCCTCCATGTGACGATTCTTTTGTTCTACCTATTCAGTAACAAAGATGCAGTGCTTGAAGCCTTGAGAAGCCCTGCTTCCTAATTCTTTTCCCAACAGCCTCT